TGATAATCGAGACAGTTCTGCCAACTGTTCGAGGAAATTACTTACTTAAAATAAATAATACCTACCTAGTTCTTAGAAATTTTGCACTGTAGTACTTGTAAATAGATAAACATCTATTTTAACGTATGATATTGTTAATTTAAAACGTAAAATTTCGTAGAAATCTTTTCAAAGGTCCTGTACAACTGAATCCAAGTTGAATTGCCAATTTACTAAACAAGATAACACATTAAGAAATTGTGCTCATAAGAAATTATAAATTATACGTTAATTACCAGATGCACACGTGATGTATTTGGTATTGATCTATCACTAAAGGGGCCAGGATCTAATTTATGATAAAATAAAATCGGGAAACCGGCTCGTGTCTCGTAAGATAGGGGGAACAGTGATGGTCTCTGACTCACCCTCGGTGAAAAAGAATTATGAGCGTCGAATGTTCTGCTTCTCATAGAAATCCCGGGTTTTTCTTAGAAGTCCACATTTACCCGCGTTTCAAGGGAGCACATGCGACGGTGAAAGGAACCCCGCTTATAATCTAAATGCTTCGATTGCGCAATGCTGATAGGAAACATGACGGATATGAAGGGAGAGACATCTATTTATACTTCGCGCCACGTCTAGGGAATTCAAAATGATTTTCACCAAAAAATATCCCTAATTCATTCACACTGTCCTAAAATATTTGACATTCATAAAAAGTAGATAAAAATGAAGGATTTTTCAGGTGGTAAGTGGAGGATATTAATTAAAAAAGAATATTAGAAGACATATTTTAAGGGATAATATTGTAGGTTAAAAAATTACCATGTATGGGGAATTTTTTAAGAGTTCCAATTAAAAGATAACATTGAATGAAATGAATAGAAGAAGAGTATTCAGATCAGATATACTTTCAGGAATAATATCGCATATTAAAAAATTATCATTTATTTTGGAGAATATAATATTGTATTATATTTTGTGTAATAATTTGTAGATTAAGAAATGCGGTACTGCTCTTCAATGTTCGATATCTATTATTTTAAGAGCTGCATTAAGATCAAATATACTTGTACTTTTACAACAACAACAAAACCTGCATAACAATCCCATCAATAAACATATACAAAATTTTGATTTGAATCAACTAATTATCTCTTTCAATTCCAGCTCGCTGCAGAACCATCTAAAAAGAAGCACAGCGAAAAAACATTCTCTGCAACTATACAGCCTCAACCCCCTCCACAGCGTGGCTTTGCAAACTTCGCACGCCACACGGTGTCTATCGATCAGAGGCCGTCCAGAAAATGATGCATTACGTAAAACTTCTCTCGACTTCTCTCCGAGCCACATGTTCCAACGGAATCATCTCCGACGACCCTGTAGGTATATACCCCTGTTCAAACCCTCGATATACTCCCAAGAGAGAGATAGAGGCACTCTCACGTCTCATCTTCGCCCTACTATCACCAAAAAACGAGCAAAAATTTATCGCGGCCAGGTGACGGCGTGGCGAGAAACGACGCAGAAAATCTATTATATCCGACGACGATCCGTGAACCGTGTACAAGAGAGAGAGACAACGATATATAGTTTGCCGCCTGTCTACGATATCTAAATTTAAGAAGTGGCACCACCGCTGTTTCCTTCGATACGATTCGTTTCTGGGGACGGCCACGTTCCTTGTAAATCGTGGAAAACACGAAAGAGGAGGGAAACGGGAGAAGCGGGAGAAAAAGATGGAAGAAGAATTCAAAGAGTCGATCGAGGTAGAAATAGACGCGATAGACGAATAGGAGGAGGATAGACATGAGGAGGTGGTAAAAGGTAGAAGAGAGAAAAAGTGTGTGTGTGCGTGCGTGAGGAGCAGATACCGCGGAGACGAGTAGTGGTATGCGAAAAAATACACTCTTGGCACTTGGCTTCGGCAGACGACGAGATAAATAGCGCGCGTGGGTGCGGCTCGTAGATGTCTACGGGCCACACGCCACGTTTCCACCGGAACGACTCAGCCACGAAGACCGAGAGAATGAGAGGGAGCCGAGGAAAACACCGGAGGTGGCCGACGACGCGCACCTCGAACAACGCTTTCCACGGAAAATACCGTTTTCCCCAGGCCTTTTGTCGCTTTCACCGACCATTGTACCTACCGTGGACTTTGTGTGCCATACTCGTAGACTTGGCACTGTTAACGAGTCTTTGCGGATGCTTCCTAAGGATCATTTCTTCAAGTTGAAGAACCAAAGGGTTCGTTCTCAAGTGAACGGTCAAGCGGAAAGTTTTAAAGGGGATGATGGAAAATGTTTTCGAATAATTATTAAGATGCTTCAAGTAACTGGGTTTTTGGGAAATTGAATTATGTATGTATCGAAATTGAATTGAAGTATGTATCTTCTCAGTGGTTAATTTCGGATGATTAAACAGGTACACGTTAAAATATTTAATTGTAGAAAAATATCTCTAATCTTCCTCGAGTCGAAGAAACACTTTATTCACTTAATGAAAGTTCTATTATTAAAAACTGTCGTGTACCAACGGTGGAACATGTTAAGGCGATTAAAAAGAGAATGTTAATCAGTTGTTTCAAGTTAGTGTTTAAAAGGTTATGAATATTTTTTTTTTTTTTTGTTATTGGGTGAATTAGTGGAAGATAAAGGTGTTCTAGTTTCATTAATATACGTTTTAATAAAGGAGGAATATATTCTAAAAGGTATTCGTTGAAACTGAATATTCCAGTGTTATATCTTTTTATAACTTCCTAAATTGATTGATACAAGGTGAAAAAATTCCAACCCTATTACTATACATTTTTATTACTGAAAATTTTATTCGAGAAAGATTTAGTACATAAGAAAGACACTGATTAATTGTCTTAAATTAAAGATTTCTATGAAAAGGATTCTACCAGTACTATCCAATTACTTCAGCTCACTTCGAGCATTAAAATTTCACCTAAAATTTAGATTAATTAAGAACTATTCAATTCACACAAAAATCAAAGGCCAACTAAAGAAAGTGTCTCGCATTAATACATTTCTACGACATATCCGTGGTGAATTAAAACGAGACCTCGATAGAAGTGGCTGGATGGTGCACGAGGATCAACCAAAATCGCGAAAATGGTGGAGTAGAGGCGTATCTCGCGCAACAGTTTCCTCGACACCGGATTTTGACGCAATGCGTCACATAGTTACTGTCACCACTCGCCACTTGACTGTTCTCCGAAGAAAAAGTCGACCTAAAAAGCGCTGAATGCACACCTAGCTCGTCTTCTACCTCGTCTGTCTGTCTTTCTCTATATCTGTCTCTGTCTCTCTCTTAATTAATCTCGCTTAATTTCTTCCAATTCTTCTCTTTTTTCTTCATCATCATGCGAGACGAATAAAACGAGACCAAGGGGAAAGAAAGAATAAAAGGAAAAGAAGAAGGAAAAAAGAACGAATGAAAAGATGACTACGAGGGTGGGCGAAACGTGTAGTGACGAATCGCGAAACGGAGCAGCAGCATTTTAATAATACACGTATCTGCATGCTCGAGTGGACACGTTGCAGGCGCCAACATGCCGTGAATATTTCTCTTATTTGCCCGACGGACAACCCGTGCTGTTTACTTTTCGTGTTTCGACCAGGTGGACACTGTGCCTCGCGCTTTTCGACAACACTTCGTGACTGATACGACGTGCCTCTGAGATACCCCTCGGATCTTCCACCCCTCTGTGATACACAGCTCCCTCGTGAATGCCCTTGCAGAGCAAATGCAATTAGAATTTTTTTTTTTAATATTTACACCGGTTAGAAATGTAGAGAAAATTCTGCTTGAAGTTGTAACCTGTTATATAACTGTTTTCTAGTAGTGGAAGTTATAAAGTGAACCATAAGGAAGACATGTGATGACCTAACCAATGAGGTACAAGGCGTGGTCGAGCGGTAAAATATAATACAATTGTTCAACCTAACTTTGATTCAATGTACTTCAGGTATTTCAGAAGCTGTCGTATTGTTTATATTGGATTTAGAAAGTTAGGCTATAATAAAATAAAGATAAAGTATTTTCTACGTCGTGAATAAATATTCTTTTATTGAGAATGTAGCGACTTTCACATGCTACATGTTGCAATACTGTTTCGCGACTAAAAATAAACCATTCGCGAAAAGGCTGTATAATTTTTCTAAATAGCGATTTCAAAGTAACATACGCACACACACACCCTCAAGAATTAATCTCATCTACCAATTTCGTGAAGAAACAGTAAAAGCACAACTACAAAGACACTTAATCGATATAAAAGAAAAAGTTCACTTCATGGATAAAAAAAATACAACGTTTTAAGGCTGTGCAAAGTAAGATCGCGAAAGGGGTGTCGCTCGCGGTCCCCGTGGTAGGGGAAGTGGCCTTGAGCGGCGATTGATTTCGCACAGGCTATAGCCGTCCTATTCCCGAGAGTTCTCGCTTAATCCACACCCTTTAACCCCTTGCCTTATTCCGTCGAGTTATTCTCGTGGTACAGATTATGCTCGAGGTACGTCGGAGGCAATTGTATCAGTGATAGAATTTCATTTTAACTTTGATTTAAATATAAACTACCCGTGATACATTGGGTCGGTGCAAAAGTTCGCTCGCTCACTGTCAGAAACCTCCCTATTATTATAAAGTAATAACCACTCGTACCAGAATTTCATTTCTCAATATTAATTGGATATTAATAGTGCATATTAATCGGAACGAGGGAACATTCACGAGCACGAAAATTCTAAATTCCATTTATCCAATCTCAACGAAATACGAACCTAAGTCTTCGACTCGTTCTTTCTTCAGAATAACCAAACTGTGCCCAAAAGCAAAGTGACAAAACCTACCAAAGACCCACAAAGAAAACCTAATTCATACTGTCAGATATTACCACATCTACCAACCTTCACACCAACCCAATACTTCACTTAGAACACTCGCAACCCCCAAGAAACTTCGAAAAGAATAACGTAACATAACCCTTTGATGAAAAGAAGCATGAAACTTACCAGGAGAAACGGCGAGTGCGAGGAAGGCAGCGGCAGTGGCGAGCAGCAGTATCCTAATCGCGTTTCCGCCAGTTCGTCTTCTTCCTGGCCTCGGTGCCCCGTGGCAAACCATTCCAAATCCATTTTTCGTTCGAACATTGAGGACCACGTATGCCGGTTCGTCCACCTCACGTTGGAACAGCCGTTCCTCCTCGGCGTCAGCGTCGTCCGCGACGCCGGGCGTCGCGGCAGCAACGCGTCTCCGTCTCTGTGGTCGTGGTGATCGCGGCTGCTGAAGGTCGCTGGCACTGCGTCACCGGTGGCTGCGCTCGTCAGCGTATCCTCGACGCACCTCCGCGTGCTGTACCAGCGGCGTCCTTACCTACGACAGCCAGCGAACTCAGGAATCCGCGAGGCATCACCACGACCTGGCTCGAGACTGAATCCAGAGACACCACCGGAGCACACGAATTTTCAATTCTCACCAAAATCACCAAAAAAATTCTTCTTCAGATCCTCCCTCTTTTGTATACTACTAACAGTTTCTTTCTTATATGGAATTTTATCATACGAATTTTCTCTTTGTTTATTTAAAGGAATATTTTTAATTCTTTCGTTGTATGTATATATATATATATACCTATACAGATATATATATACTACTTTATGTCTTTGCACAACGATTCTTCCTGACGTTTGTCATCGTTTTCCTCAATAGAATCGTAAAGTGAGAGAAAAAACTGAAAGGAAAAAAGAAAAAGAAAAAAAGGAAAGAACCGGGAAGGATCGCGTATAAAGTAGACACGGTATCACCCCCGACGGAACTCGACTACAGAGCTGCTTGATGAAGAGGAGGCACCGCGTGCACTCGTGCGCCACGCACGGTGGTGGCCACGTCGTCGTGGTCGTGGTCGTGGTCGTGGTCGTCGTCGCCGGAGGGAAGAAACCCTCTAAACGAAAAAGCGTACACGCTATATTACCGGCGACACGTCGCGGCTCTCTCGCTTGTACGTGCACGAGTGTGCGGTCCCGTGCGTGTTAAGGGAGCAGCGTAAAGGGTTCGTCGCACTCCTTGCTTCCCTTTCCAGCCTTTCGTAGTTAGAGAGACCCTTCTTCTTTCCTCCTCCTCGCCTCTCTTTCCTCCTCCACCTCGTCAACAATGACGACGACAAGCGGTGATATGAAACGAAT